ACAGTATTTTTGTGCCAAATTTGGTTAAAATCGGTTCAGCGGTTTTTGAGTTATCGTGTTACAGACGGACGGACGGACGGACAGACAGACAGACAGACACCACGAAAATATTTTGTATTTAGGTCATTTATGACCCAAGTAACTCGTTTTGAGTGAAATTAAAAAAAACTTTTTTTTTGCCGATCCTAATAGCCTACCATACCTATTGGTATGATCGGCTAAAAATGTCCTAAAAGAATATTATATTCTAAAGCCGAGGATACACCTGACGAATGTTCAAATATTCGTTCGCATTTGTGCGCAAGGAAATCTTTCTCAGGTTGAGATGTGCTTTCGCAGCGAATGTACGTCGAGAGGAAGCGCGAACAAATGATTTCCATCTTCTAGCGGTGAAGTTGAATAGATCAAGGAAAAATGCGAGCCGCGCATCAATGAACACGTTGCAGTGTGGACGTATCGGTAAAAATGCAGAGAATGGAAAGAGTGCTATTGGTTGAAATGTTAGCGAATGAAAAAGATTCCTTCAAATGTGTCATACCACCTGGTGTGAGTGGGTTGTTGTTCGATTTTGCCAATGGCAACAATTCGGGTGAATGCGAATGAATGATAACATTTTTATATCAGTCACTCATGAATTTAACTCTCATTAAGCAGAAAGTATACAATGAAAATAAACCAGAAACCACTTAAACTATGGATTAAACCAGAGAATATCATACCCTTGTATATGGATTTTTGGATTATACTAACATTGTATAATATTTTAGTAAACTTAAGCGTTGGCATATATAAAATTGGGCCTAAGATAATCTGATTAGCTTAATCAGATTAAGTTTAGATATATGTTCATAGATAGACTGACTTAATTTAACAAATTTGAATTAAAAAAGGTATTAATTTAAATAAAATATTTACCATTTATTACCAATAAAATTTCATATTTTGATTGCTATAAGATTGACTAAGCTGACCTCTGCTAAGATGAACGAAGTTTAAGATATTTTTTTAAATTTCATAGATTCATTTTCGCTATTTTTAATAGTCTCTATTAAAATCTTTGTTATTGATTTTCTGATTAGTAGTATGTTTACATGGATAATAATAGCATTAATAACAAACTTTTTTTACAACAGAGTGTTATGACACAATGACGACATAATTATTGCTTCATATTTTGATTTTCTTAAACCCAAATAACCCGACTAGTAAAGTAGTTGTTTTACTAATATTTTATGAACAGTTTTGCGAAACAAATAGGTTTAAAGTACAGTAATCAATATTTTTTAGCAAAATATAATATATAAATATTTTGTAAAATAAAGCCAAATTTCAGTTCAAGTCAAACGAACAACTGTTTTTGACAAATGTCTGATGATGGCTGAATAGCCGAAACCGGTAGGTACCAAATAAAGAATTTTTTTGACAGTGGTTTGGACATTGGTTTTAATTATTATTTCAACTAGCATTTATAGTGGCAGATGCGTAACTGCTACTATCAAAGGGGCCACTACAAAGTGGGCGGTGACTATCGGCGGTTACGTCGTATATTCGTAGCGGCTAAGTAACCAAAGTTGGAAATTTCAACAATATGGCCATAGACTAATGTCACGTACTAGAGATAGATTGGACACTGATATAAAACAAATGGGTCCGTCATTTAGAGCCACCTGGTGATCCAGGAGAAACTAATGGAGAGTTTTGGCATAACACAATTTTATCGTTCCGTTACTTATTAACGCTAATTAAAACGGTAACGTTATTCAAGCGCAAAATTATTCCTTGTAAAATATAAAATAATAAATATAGACTTTTTTACCGCATTTTATATTTTATTAGATCATTAGAAGTGTAACATAATTAAAACAAAACTAAAATTATGAATACATACATTTTAAACACCAACAATAGATCACATAGCACCTATTTTTTTTATTTAACAACTAAATTATAATATAGTAAAATTATTATAGACTACTAATTAACTGTTACTAAAAATACTACAGTTACATATTTATACTACTATTCAGTTCAATTACGAACTATGTACTTACTTATTTATGATTAAACTATTTTTTTATTTGGTTTATAAATTATTTCTAAAATGTCAAAATGACTTTAATAAAAAAGTTTAGTATCTAACAGAGAGAAAATAATAACTAAAGTGAGAGGGCTTGTGGAATAGGGCATTTCGTAGACAAGTTTATTTTGTCACCGCGCATCCCAGACGCGCATAGCGTTTAGGCGGTCAAAAAAGGAAGTTTTCAACTTTGCAAGTTAAACATTTGACAGGATTAATTAGATTGTCAGTAGCTTTTTCTATTTCTTAGTTCTAGAAGGAGATAACTAAAATCTGTTGATAATCGGAGCAAGTCGGAGTAATAAATTGTTTTTGACTGAATGTGCCTGTTCTTTTAGCTTGTCAGAAGAGAAGATTATTGTCATTATTGATTATTTCAGATTCCACGATTATTCGGCATTTTTGTAATTTTTGTTTTGTGGTTGAGACCCAGACAAAACGTTTCCTTTAAAGGTAAGTTTTATCTCGGTAATTATTTTAACATACCTAATAGTAATAGTGAGTGCACATAATAATCGTACATTGCTAATTTAATTTTTTTAATTTAAAACATCACATTCTTTTCTGATACCTATGGAACGACTAGGTATTATACCTGGTATTATTTCCAGTAATACAAATTATTTTCTTCAACTGCTAAGTTCTTGTTATAGAATAAAGACTATCAAAAACATTGAATACCTACGGGATACCTACTGATACTCTGTGCGAGCTCCCAGCCGTGCTTCCCTGTTCACTCCCAACCAATTTACATAAAAAAGATACTGAAGATTGCAGCCTTGAGTTGTAGTATGGCAAGGAGTATGGAGTTAAATAAATTATTATGTTCCTACACAGTATTTTATTTATAGGTTTTAATGCTTTAAAGTCTAATAATAAATTTTCGTTGTCAACAAAATAATCTAAAAAAACTACGAAGATTTCTTATTATAAATTTGAAAGATTAAGATTCGGTTCAAATATACAAATTTTAAATTTTTGGCGCCAGTATATAGGTATGAATGCAACCTACTATATCGATAATGCGCTCATAGTTCGGGTTAGACGCCAAAGGCTGCGCCACTAACACAGTCTTCAAAAATTAACGTTGATCGGTCTCTCTCACTTTAGTTATTAGTGTTCTCTCTGGTATCTAACACGAAAATGATGATCGACTGTAAATATCAGAATGCACAAATTAATAAAAACACAAACTATAAACACAAATCACTGAAATCACTGAACTTTCCGACAAATCAGGAATATCTAATGGGAATATCTGAATTAATAATTATTTAAATAATGATTTAAAAATAATTTGACAGATCACCAACATTTTGTCAACTAGTTACATAATCCTAAGACATGAGTAAATATATTTCGATAATTTCAGAGATATTAATAAATAAATAAAAATTATATATTTTTCAGCCTTTCTTAAAAAAATAATTAATAATACTAGAACTGTTCTGAAATCAAAACTATATTAGATATTTACGTTAGATGGTCTGTTCTTACTTTGCTATAAATATGGAAATCGTAAATCATACAGGATGTTTAAAATTCTACGCCAAACTTTCTAAAATATAAAATAATTTTTCTTTGTTTTCTTAAATGGAACACCCTGTAGATTATTTTTTCAATAGATGGAAAATTAAAAAATTAACATTTTTTGCATTTAGAGTATTTCAAAATTTTTAACTGTTTTGTATTTCATATGGCATTTTCCACATTAAATTTTTATCAAAGCCACCCAATCATTTTTCTCTTGTATTTTACCATTGAAAGCGCCATATGAAATAATACTGCGTGTATCCGGAAAACCGGAAAACTTAATTAAAAATTTTGAAATACTTTAAATACAAAAAATGTTCATTTTTTAATTCTCCAAGTAAAAAAATAATATGCAGGGTCCATTTAAAAAAACGAAGAAAAATTTTATGTTTTTGAAAGTTTGGCGTAAAATATTGAACATTCTGTATTATTTACGATTACCATATTCATAGCAAAGTAGGAACAGACCATCTAAAGTAAATATCTAATATAGTTTTGATTTCAGAACAGTTCTTGTATTTTTAATATTTTTTTTAAGAAGGGCTGAAAAATATATATTTTTGATTTATTTTTTAATATCTCTGAAACTATCGAAATAGATTTACTGATATCTTAGGATTATGTAAAGTGATCTGAAAGGAAGCCAAAAATGCAATAATATACAGGGTGTTCCATTAAAAAAAATCATCCAGATCCACTCACACTTTTTTGAACCACCCTATAGAAGTGAAAATATTTTCCTGATATACATCCTCATACATACAGTACATCTGCTGGATCTGTGTCTATGAAAGGAATGCTGACAAAAAACATTTAAATAAACAGCAATATATTTTACACGTCGATTTGACGAGTGCGTCACCGCAAATCGCTCCGCCCACTCATTTTATGGGCTACTTGCAAATTTGTTGAATTTTTATTGATGGGACGCATCGTCTATTTTTTTACGAAAAACATCGAGAGAATATCGTTTCCCCTCTGACGGATACCCCGTAGCTACAGAACGGACAGACGTACTGTACTATAGGTTTCCACTTAGACAAAATTCTAGGAGCTAGAGATGCCCGACGCACTATTGCCGGTCCCTGTAGATTTGGTAGAACTGAAACCTGGATGTAAGTCCATGAAGCTTGATGTATCTCCGGACCGGATGTATCCATTTCTAATGTGCCAGGGGTCCAAGGGTGTCTAAAAGCTCCAGTTCTTTTAGATTGCCCTCTGTCCATCTATCAGATTAAGTAATGAATGTAATGAACCATATGATGTAATAACATGTGTGTGTGTAGACCAAAATGATGATTCTTTCAATTCGCTAATAGATTTAAAATAAATTGATTTCAGAAAATGAAAATTTTGTAATTCAAAGCTAGAATTAAAAAAAACTCGTACATGTTGTCCTAAGTTGCCTTTATTTATAAATGATACTCATTCATTAATTATATTTACGCATTTTAAGTATATTATCAAAACATTTGCTGATATACGTTATATACGATAACAAATTAATGTTACAGAAAGCGCATTACAAATAATAAATTAACAATGTTATGCAAATTTTGTTTATATTTTAAAACGGAGAAGCATCTTGTAATCGCATGGTATAGTGTATCTTTGAAGTAGATAGCGTTCCATTGAAGATGTACTGGGTGTTCATGAGAGTTTTTTAAGATAAACGCACACCTCCGCCTCCTGGACATTCACCTTGGGAAACCACTCTCAAATCTGTAAAAATAAAATATTACATGTTAAAAAATCGTTTAGTTTTATACTAATTAATAATAGTCAAAAATAACACATGACAAATAAATTCTAATGCAATTAGAAATAATTCTTTGGGTTTTTTTCATGATACAAACACATTGTATCATTGAAAAATAATTAATTTTTTTCACTACACAAATATATAAAAAACGGATGTTGGTAAATTTTTAGAACATTGTTACTTCCTTTTGCAAACGGGTACAAGGTTTGGCATTAAATAAATAAAGTGAAATAGCTTCATGTCTTATACAGGATGAGTAATAATCTCGATAAAGGAAGCATATTATTTTCTCTTTACCGTTTTTCAAATAAGTCCAAAATAACCGAGTTATTCAAGTTTGAAAATTTAAAAAATATTGATTTATTTTTGCATCCCTTTCACTGGCGTAACCATAGAGCAAAACCGTGACCATAATAAAAACGGTAATATCAGAGATTAAAAAAATTATACCGTGGGGGGAAAAATTAGCGGTGAACGGGCAGTTCTAAAAAGTTTTCTAAAATACTTTAAAATTTTAAAAGAAAATGCAGGATTTTCAACATTTCCTTTGTCAAAAAAACTTTATAGACGTGTTCCTGGGATCGAAATATACCACCCTAAAAATATTCATCATATGGTTCACAAATTTATTAAAATCATATTATTTAAAATATATAAATAATCATATTTAAACATAAAATTGCAAATAATGTGTAATTCTGGCTAAATTGTTCAGTATTTTCACTAAATTCTTTTTCACTAATCTTTTTATTTCTTAGAAATGTGGAATGTCGATAGATTGGAACAAAATCAACTTATCCGTATGACACGTGTCACTGTGACAGTTTGTATTGACGTAAGAAACGTCAAGAAGTTGATGTCGTCCGATCTTGACCAAATTTGGTGGGTAGGCCAACCCCAAAGTTGTATACGACGTTTTGTTTACATCTGCATCAGGGTAGGAGAAATGATTTGATATTGAAGAAAAGTGGAAAAATGGGTCGATTTCGGAATAATTGAGGACGGGATACAGGATGACACCCTCGACGCGACATTTCGAACCGATACCGCTAAATGGACGAAATCATCAGGATTTTTCTTAATTATGGGTGGATTGGAACCGAATGGAGTCCTCAGACGGACAGACAAACAGACAGATAAACGGAAGTAAGTAGAAGTTTCTCTTCAAATATGCGCACATAGTGAACACACAATAGTGAACACAGAATTGTTTTTAATTTAAAATTCACAAAAGAATATATTAACTACATTAATCATCGATCGGATCGCAACACAACGATCTACAAAATGTGGGTCAGCTGGATTTTGCGGAGAATTGGTTGGTGGAAATTGCACCTAAGCTTAAAAATTGGCAAGGGCCGGAACTGGTTGCAGTGAAGGGAGAAAACATCCCTAAAGGGGCGACCATCACGGTCTTTCTGCCGAGGAGCAAGGGGAAATACACCACCTACCTGCTGAGCCTTATCCAGGGTCAGAACTTCAATGTAAGGACATCGAGTTGGCAAGTCATCAACTCGAGGGAGGAGGGTCATGGTCAAGTCGTCGCAATAGGAATTGACCTCAAATCCAAGGAGGCAATAAAGAAAGAGGGACACCGGTATCAAGTCTAAGAAGAGACCTAAGAAGAGAAGAGACTAAGAAGAGAAGAGACGAAGTTAAAGAGGTGGAGAAAATGAAGACAGATCCTCCAGCCTCCTAACCTAACCTAACCTCAGGGGTATCTCAGCCAGAGGCAAGCTCCTCGACTGTGAAGGGCACGGAGGGTCAAACTCCAACCGTAGAAGGGTGTGTACCCTCGGAGGAAGAACATCTGTTGTGAGAGGAGGATGGGAAATACCCTGTCCCCCCTACAACAGAGGTATGATGGGTTATAGACTGTGTGATGACTCAAGGAAGGGGGCACAATAGATCTTTAAGGTCGCAGTGATTAACCCCTTCTCTTACTCATTCTACATTCTACAACTACATTAATATTTTTAAAAATACATGAAACAGAAATTTATGCAGCATGCTTTTTATATTTTGTGTTAATACAACACTCCAACGAGAACGAGCACATACAACTCCAACGAGAATATACATGACCGTGACAGTGACAGTTGTGTCTGCCATTTTAATTCATACGTAAATTGTATTATTTGTCATTTTGTGGATGTCGTCTGTCGTCTGTCGAAATGACTCTTTGGAGAGACTTTAGTAAGAAACAACCAATATAACTTATATTAATAATGCCAAACGCTTACTTTTCTGGTTTTCGCAGTTGTAATTGCTCAGGACGCATTCGCTGCCAAAGCTGATCTTCCTGTCACCCTCAGAAGCGCAAACTGGTTTGTAGGTCTCCCCACATTCTTTGGTGCACGTCGCTTTCTTCTTCAGGGAAGCCTTGGTGGATCCCTTGGAAGGAGCACCATAAATAGTACTCAGAACAGCCACTAATATGGAAAAAAAATATTCCTTTATTTATTTTAGGGAAAAATATATGGAAAAGGAAGTTAATAAAGTTAAAGTTTTCATAAAAAATTAGAGAAATTATAGAAAACCATCAGATTTATCTTACATTTAAGATTAATTTATCTGAGTAGAATCAAATCTCAATCGCAAAAATACTATATTTATTACGGTTAAAAATGATTTTTTTTTTGTATTTAGAGTACATATTTAAAATTTTTTAACGGATACTCACGGTATTATTTCATAGACAAAAATAAAATATGAGAGAAAAATCATTGGGTGTCTTTGATAAAAATTTACACTGGAAAATGCTATTTGAAATATAAAACCGCAAATATCTGCGAAACCGTTGAAAATTTTGAAATATTCTAAATACAAAAAAGTTCATTTTTTAATTCTTCATCTAATAGAAAAATAATATATAGGGGATTACATTTAAAAAAAAAAGAAAAAGGTACCTTTTAGAAAGTTTGGCGTAGAACACCCTATATGATTTAAGATTACGATATTTATCGCAAAGTAAGTACAGATCATCTAATATAAATATCTAATATAGTTTTGATTTCAGAACAGTTCCGGTATTTTAATATTTGTTTTAAGAAAGGTTGAAAAAATATACATTTTTTATTTATTTATTAAGATCTCTGAAACTATCCAGATATATTTACTCATACCTTAGGATTATGTAATGTGATCTGAAGGAAGCCAAAAACGCAATAATATACAGGGTGTTCCATTAAAAAAATAAAAATAAAATATTTTCCTGATATACATTCTACCACATACTTTAAAAACCACTTAGTACAAACTTTAGGTTTGCACTTAAACAATATCTTCAAATTTTTTATTCTAGGAGCTACAGAATAAAATAGCTACAGAAAACATATTTAATAAATAATGAGTAATCAGTAAGTTAATACCCAGTTTTTTAAACATAGTTTATATTTATTCAAAATGATAATGACAGTACCCGGTACGCTCAGTCAATCAGTCAACGACAGCATCCTATTTATCATTCATTCTAGAAAGTTTTATTGATGGACAGTGTAAACCTTGAACTAGATCTGGTTTATAAATAGATTTAATTAATAAATATTAATGTAAATATAATTCTGCAAGGCAATCCTTGATGGAGATAAAGACCAAATATGTGATTTTCTTATTATAACACTATCTATAGCAGAAATCACGAGAGTTTTGTTCGCTTTAACATTTGACATCGTGCATAGTAACAGATTAGTCACCCATACACCGCAGGCCAATCTGTAGGCCAAATCTTCTGGTGTATGGGGGACTATTCTCCCAAACATTGTCTGAAGTGAAACAACTATTTCCTAAAACCACTTAATATTTTCAGAATAGTTGAAGATAGCACAAAATGCTGACAAATCTTAGATTTGTGAAAATCGCCCTTTCTTAAATAATCTTTACGTTCTGTTGTGGACCCGTGTGGACTCGACCTAACCTAACTATATGTCCCGCCCTCAGATGACCTTAACATCGCATTAAAGAATAGACACCGTAATAATTCATTTAAAGTTTCGAGAAGAATCGAGTTTCACTGGAATGGAGTAGTACATACGAGAACAATCGAAACCTGCTCTATGCACCTAACGATCTACGGACTATTCGAGAAATCTTTAACTGTGGGTATAAAAGCCGGCGGCTGGGGCCTAAAGAGGGCAGACATAAATAGACGAGTACAGTTGACGCGCTAAAATTCAAAATAAATTCTTTGTAGATAAATAGTTATAAATCGTTTGTAAATCGTTCTTTAAGTCTTTTATCGTTATTGTTTTTGTTAATTAGTGTTAAATAAATTGTGTTTAAATAACAGTTCTTCAATTCGAACACTTAAGGGTCTAGATGATTCACCAATATAAAATTTATCACATTCATATGGTATTTCGTATATTATATTTTTTGATTATTGTCCAGGATTTAGTGGGGGTTAAAGTGGATCTAAGTGTATTTTGTGTTTTGAAGGATGTTCGTATATGTTATATTGTTTTCCTATCTTTCTCATTTCTTTTCCGAAACGCCTCGAATGTATGGAATTGTAAGTTGAATATTATGAATATACTGTATATTGTTATCATTGTGTATATTCTCAGTGGGACAGGGGGAGGGCCCACGGGGCCCGGCCCCCCTAAAGTCTGTGAATTGTGTAAAGTATTAGGCTTTTGGGTTAAAAATGGCGCCCTATAAAGCATATTCTACATTGCTTTTCATTTTGGGCCCCCCCTAAAATAAATTCCTGTATCCGCCCCTGTATATTCTGCCTATGATTTGGAGTTTACAGCAGTGTTTACAAAAAGTAATTATTTTGTTTTGTAGATTTCTGATGGACTCTGAGTGCAGACGTGAAGCGCAAAATCCAAGTTGTTGAAATGGACTACCTTAGAAGAAGTGCAGGTATATCTAGGATGGAAAAAAAGACAAACATCGAGGTCAGGCGTATCATGAATGCATCGGAGGAGACAGTACTGGATCGAATCGAAAAATCCAGCTTAAAATGGTTTGGACATGTTCTGCGTATGCCGGAGAACAGGTGGCCAAAAAGAGTTTTTCAATGGGCTCCCCAGGGCAGAAGAAAGAGAGGTAGACCTAGAAAATTCTGGAACGGAACGGTTACGGAAGCAATGGAAGCTCGTAACCTAGAAGCTGATGACGCTCTAAATCGAAATGTGTGGCGTAGGGTAACGGGAAGGCAGCAATAGGCTGTAGTTGGTAATGAGTATTAAATACTTAAACCAAATCCCGTTTATTTATATATATATATATATATATATATATATATATATATATATATATATATATATATATATATATATATATATATATAGAGATATAGATTTCTGATGCAAGACCAAGAATTCCTTGGTCTTGATCTTGCAGTCTAATAAGTAGTCTCTGTCTTAGTGTTGCAGGGTCCAATGCTCTCGAACTTATCGAATTAGAATTTAGAATGAGTGGGAGGGGGGTTAATCACTGCGACCTTACAGATCTATTGTGTCCCCCTTTCTTGAGTTATAACTCATCATACAGTCCCAGGGCTTTGACGAAAGCCAGTATCTGGGACGGTTTTACAGAGGGTAGCTCTTCATCTCCAATATCAGTAGTACCAAAATTCATGGCACAAATGGTTGTCGTCTCGGCGCACTCAGTGACGAGGTGTTCCGATGTTTCCCCATTTTCCCCAAAGAATCTGCATTCGCCGTTTCTTCTTAGTTTAAATCTACTGAGGTGTTCATTGAGGAGACAGTGTCCTGTTAAAAACCCCTTGACAATCCGAAGATTGTTCTTACTTAACTCCAGGAAGATCTTTGATTTTTCTTGGTCGTAAGCCCTCAGAAACTTCTTCGAGTGTCTTAGACCGTTGCAAGATTCCCATTCCAGGTTGCGAATGGAGTCTTTCAAGTTCTTGAGTTTCGCCTTTAGTTGGTTACCACTGGGGAAGCAGAACGGTTCTGGTCCAGTTAGTGGAGTGTTCGCTCCTTTTCTAGCTAGATCATTTGCTTTTTCATTGCCTTCTATCCTTTGATGAGCAGGCACCCAGAGTAGGAGGACTTTGTTTTCTTTGCCTAATTTATTCAGCTTCTCTATGCATTCTTTGACCAATTTCGAATTGATTGAAGTATAGTTGATAGCTTTTAACGCTGCTTGACTATTAGATAAGATGGCTATTTCTTGTTTCCGATAGTTCCTATCTAAGTTGTACGCATCTTTCGATAGCGTAGATTTCTGCCTGTAGGATGCTACGGTAGGTGCCTATTGGTTCGGAGTATTTAGTTCTCGACCCAAATACTCCGATCCCTGTTCCCGCATTGGTTTTGGAAGCATCAGTATACCAAGTATGGTATGGTCTTTTCCACTAGAGTTAATTCGTCTAGTAGTTCAGCCACTACCAAACTCCACAGCAAAGGGGAGGTTACTCCACCTTGTGGAGTTCCTTGCATTGTTGTCTGAGCCTCTGCTGTTCGTATTGACAGCATTTCCCAAAACCAGTATCGAACTTGCTACAATACTGTTGCACAAATAAATAATACTAATTTGATGAAATTATATGTATAACTTGAAGTTTAGTTTTTTAGTTTTAACTTGAAGTTCTTTAGACAGTTATTCATTGCAATCTTAAATTTTACAGGAAGTGCGGGTGTCTAACTTCGGTAGGACATTAAGATTTCGGTAGACATTAAGGTTAAAGGTAAAGTTTTCGATACCCATTCTACATCTATCCCTGTATCTAATCTCGATAAATTTTTCAACGATTTAAAATTTGCCATATTTTTTTTTCATTCAATTAATAAATTGGTTGCGAACGATACCAAACAATGAGAGCTAAATAAAAGTCGCGTGATGTTTCAATTACTTTGATTTTTTTTTGTTGCCAAAATTATCAAGTAAATGTTCTAAATATATTTCTAAATGTGATTAATGGCGTAAGAATGCCGATCATATTTTGAAAACATGATTATGTTAATTATAGCTGTTGAATAATTAATTTTGTAATTCAAAAAGAACATCATTCATAATAAATATAACTCACGATGAAAGCTTAAACAAAACTTGTTCATGTAATTTCAGGAATTTTATAATATTTTATTATGTTTTCTTATACCGGGTGCGTCTCAACAGTGGCTCATCCCTTATTTCTTCAGATAAAAAAACGAGATTTACCCCTTACTTCTAAATGCGGGGCTCTGTAGAAGTGGACCGACTGTCCCTAGCGACTCATAGGAACACTATGAGATCTGGTAATAATAGTAATAAAAACATCACCGGTGAAGCTGTGGGGAAACCCCCTAGCGACACTGGGAACAGTAACAATGAAAGTTCCAAGGGGTCAAACCCAAAGAGAACTACAGGAGAGGTGGCTGACACTTGCGTGAGACCATCCTCCGCAAGTGGCATACAAGCTACCACCTCCTCCAAGGGTCGGAAGCCTCCCTCCTACCTCTAAACCCAACAGGCGACACAA